CAAGGACAGGTGCCCTAAATCGCTTGTTTTCTAACAGATGTCAGGCGTACACGCACTGCTGATATGACATAATCATTACGCGTTTTGTGCAAGTCTTACATTATACAAGCTCCTCTACTGTGGCTGTTAGTGTAACGAAAAGACAACAAGACAACTGGTAAATGATAGAAAGGTACAGCAGATACACTGAAGCAGCCATTAAAGCGCCGCGTCCTCCATGAGCAGTTGCTTTCGCACAAAAACACACACTATTAAAATAGAGCTGTTTGGCTCACTTACTTTCCCAGCACATTACAAGTCGAGCACACAGATCACATCTCTAGCTCTGCTAACTCCCTACACCTCCATTACATCCCCATTCATCCAATCCTCCACAAAAACAGCAGGGGGGGCAAACACTGTACTGTGCTCCTACTGTGTTTAGAGCCAATCAGCAATAACTGCACCCGCAGCAGCCTCATACCCCAGCCCGTGTTGACTTTGTTTATCAGACACGGGCTCAGGAGCGAACACTGCAGCCCTAATCCATCAGGCCTTTGTCCCCACGTCCCCGTGGCTCAGTTGAGCTGGCTTTCACCTCCACACAAAATCCTCTGGGAGAAGTCTGATTCATCCCTTTGAAAAGCCTGAAAAACAGAGCTGGAATACATTCACTGTGTAAGTGTGTCTCCTGTTGCAAATGCCACCCTCATTCACAAAAAGGCTCAGTCAGTGGAAAACCGACAAAAGGAGCTGCAGGTGCGAAACTCCTACACGATGGAAAATACCCCTTAAAAATGTACAATGGTACTTCCAAAGAAAATAGGCGCTATCCACGTTTTGTGTTTTGGCAGCTTTTCTCTTGTCAAGGTAGATTATTGATTCAAAAAGTAGTACCATATCCTGTCATGCAATAATTTACATCTCCAGAGCACAAAACACCGGTTTAGCATGAAGGCTGGCCAAGGAAAAATTATACGTCTTTCAAGGAAAATTACACCCGGACAATGGTTCTTTGCGACCTCTAGAGATCCAATACAGGCTCCTGAGACAGAAACAAATCTGTGTTTATAAAGGCTGAACAAAATGCATCCTTTATACACAAAAGCAAACACGCACAAATTAGTAATCAGGAGAATGTCTGTGAATTTGGAGGCTGGAATTGAAAGCCAAGACTGCACAGATTGTTATTCAAGGTGAGAAAAGCAATCACAGAGAGAAGGGAAATTAATGTTGACAATGCAATCAACGGGAAGCGTTAATTCCACCTGTTTTCCACTCACTTGGCTCCTTTAATACGTCGATTCTATTTGGGTGAACTCACCTCTTCAGCAGTTCCCTGTTTAAAAGAAGCGCACGCACACACATCACAGTCAAGAACTAAGTGAAGTTAGGGTGGATAATAAAAACTATTCTCTAACCAAGGTCGAGTTCTTCTCGCAGTTCTATAAATCACGATATAAACTGGAGAGAGCAGTTTTCAGTTCTGGAGGATTTCCATCACATTCACAGGTGGACTGAGTCTGAGTTCTGTTGCGAGGTTCCACATTAAACCGAGGTCCATATGTTATTATTTTTTTCCCTGTTGATATCCATCTGTCCGTTTACCGCCAACACATAAACTAGTGATGCAGTTACCATGGCAACGGGTGCTCTGCCTACTCAGCACCTGAGGAAAAAGTCTATCATCACTAATCTAATCACACCTGTCCTGCAAACAAAAGTGCGAGTCGGCACCATGTTTCCTTTCAACAACTTTTCAAACATCCAAATAAAGACTCAACCTGGATAAATTACAAATACACTGCATTTTCTGGGCTTTGCTATTGCTAATTAATTACCAGTTTAGAAGTGTCTGGTGTTGAATTTCCCAAGCAGAATACGAAGGACAGACAGCAAAAGCGATAGAGGACAATTATTTGCTTTCTTTGCTGGTGAAAAATAAATAAAAATTGCTGGTAATAATAAAAGCATCTCCTTTTTTTCCAGGTTTTCTCCCTGTTGATTGTTGCAATTGGTGTGTATGCTAAAGTCCAGAAGGCCACAGGTACGCAAGACGACACTTTTCGCTCGCACCTCCTAAACTCCAAAGTGAATTAAAGACCAGCGATAAACCGTCCCTCATAAAAGAGGTGCAGGGATGAGGTGGCACTCTCCTTGGGATCGTAAACTGTTAAGCTTTCCAGGCACAAAGCAAATGTGTGTCAGGCTTTCGCCTTCATTTTACCTGATGTCTTTACTTTTGTAATTACTATGAGATATATATATAGTTGAGAGACAACCAAAATTTTTTTACCTGTGTTCATTGTGCATAAATCCCACAATAGATCATTAATGATTGTAGAGTATGAAGGCAGCTAGCGTAGGAAGGGATGCTGCAAAGACAGGGAAACAAGGTACATGATGGAATTATTTAAATCAAAAATCAGGTATTGGGGTTGGAAATAAACAGAGGCTGTTTTCCCATCTTTCTGCCAGACACGGTGAGGGACACGTTCCTGATCGACCCGGCTGTCATCTTAATTGTGGTGGGGGTGGTCATGTTCTTCATCACTTTCTGTGGCTGTATCGGAGCTCTCAGAGAGAACATTCGCCTCCTCAAGACAGTAATAGACCTCACAGACACATTACAAATACTGGCACAGTGTTTTTGCTTCCATCTAATCCAAAGCCAAGTCTCACATCTTATGTGTAACAACTAATCTGTCCTTTAAGATGATATTAGTCACAGCCTTTTAATATTTTTGTCTTTACTCCCTAGTTCTCCTTCAGCCTCACACTGGTCTTCCTCACCCAGCTGGCCATAGCGATTCTGGGCTTCTTTTACTCCGATCAGGTATCTGAATCTTTACTGTTCTGTGCGCTGGCTCAGTTATTCTACGAGGCCATTTAAGGCCACATTCAGGCTCCAGTGATAACAATGAGCACTATTGATTTATGGTGTCATTTCCCGGCTTTTGGACATTCTGTACATTTGTAAACTGCAGTATATGCAACTTAATAAGGCAGACATCTGATCCCACAGATGGGCCAGCTTAGCCCACAGGGGAAATGTCTTGTTAATGTCTGTGCTGCGCAGCGTACACAGGAAACAGAAAGGCATATACGCCAGCTTCCAGTGAGAATCAGTGTTTGTGTCACTCTCTATAAATCCTCCAAATGACTCAGGCTTGTTCTGTAGACTGACAGAAAACACGCAAGAACTTTCTCTCTGTATTACAATGTGATTCGAAGTGACTGGATAGAAAAACTATTTGGGTTTATTGC